ATTTGCTCACTTTGTGTCCCAAGTGGAGGCACATTATAAATACTATGGCAAGGATTTCTCCACCTCTAAATATCTGTCTCTGAGATGACTTATTACCCATTCAGATAATCCTGCTAGCACTGGCTGAATCTGAGCTTTCCAAATTTTCAAGCTAGATTTGTACAACATACTAAATTGTATGTCTATGAATCCAACCCTGGGTGGGTTTGCACATGCATAAATCAAGGCTGATGATTTCTAATGGCTAGGAAATGGACTGTCTTCCCTAGTCAGAATTCCCCTCCTCCTTTGTATAACCGCAGCACAATTAAAAGACTTCCATAATTATCTGGATAGGATTATCTAACAGGTAGTGCTAGTAACAGTAATCACAGTTTTATTTATCAAGCACTTATAACTCATTGCAGTACAAACATGGAATAATAGGTTGTTGTCGATGTTATTACATCCTGCCTTTATTCAAAGAGGTCAAAGTGGCATACCTACAGTAGCGCTCGCCACAATAACAACCTTGTGAGGTGGTTTGAACTGAAGGAAAGTTGCTGGCCCAAAGTCAAACAGTGAATATATGTGGCTGAAGGGGACATGTACCTGGATCTCCTAGATCTTAACCCAGCAACCTAGCCACACTGTATCTCCCCAGGGAAAGAGGCACAGCTGGATTGTTCCATAGAACAGCCTGTCAGCCAGGATACAAAGATGATTTGCAACACAAGGCTCCAAACACATCTTTTCTGATGATCACCACACAGGAACACACTGGGATGTTTGGAATGGATCATCTTTTGGTAAAACTCCACAGCTTAAATCTACTGTCCATGACCCTGTGCAAATGCAGGATCCAGAACTTCTCATGTTAAGCTGGCACAAAGGAAATCTGCCACAAAGGTTGTGTTCACACAACACGCTTAATCAGGACAACTAAGGACCTTGTGGCTGCCAGAGATTGGTCTCTAGTGGCCCTACGACTTCCAGCATGTTTCAGCACTGACCATGCTTTCCAGGTATATTGCCACAACTTGCTAAGCTTAGTTAATGCTAATGTTGATTACTTGTTTTATAGCTTAGCAGGCAGTGGAAGCCCAGTCTTTATGATTCAGTGTAATGTGTGAACCCAGAAAATGGGTTTATTCAGAAATTATATTAAGTGTGTTGGGTGACAACAGCCCCAAAGTTGCAGTGTTGCAATTATTTTTATTGCACATCACCCTAGGTCCTAGGTGGATGAGGGCATTTTTCCATCAAGGTTCCCATTCTGGCATGGCATTCAACTATTCCAACTTGTTATTAAAAGGAATTTGTTGTCTGCCACTTATTTGGAAGTGCTGAGGGATTTTTAACCAGACATTAATCAGACATTCGGGGCCTTTCTCTATGAAATAGGATTAACATTTTAAACAAAATTACATGGAGAAAAGCACTTTGAAAGCCACTTCTTTAACACAGGATGCACAAGCTGTTTGCAAAGATGGATTAGCTAAATGTGCCACAAGGAGGCAACATAACACACTACTAACTTGCCATCCTTATGGTGGTGGATAGGTGGATCCAAAGATGTTGGATTCATCTTTCATTCAAACAAACTGGGTGAATGAAAGATGAATCCAACATCTTTCTAAATATGATTTGTTGGGGTTTTTTGTTGCTGCTTTGTTTATTCTTCTTGGAAAGATAATAGCTGAGTTTTGGAACATTTACTTTTTGCACAAATTATACTAAACCATACCAGTAATACATTTGCTTATTTTACAAACACATTCTGCTGCTTAAAATCTGGTACAGGCAGCTGTTCATAATAAGAAAGTATGCTGTGAAACGGAGAACAGTGCCACGAAAAAGACTAGCCATTTGCAACAAAACTAAGTGCCCTTTTACACATTTCCACAATGACAGAAATTAGGAACAAGCGTTAACATGCAAAAACCTACCTACCAAATCATAGAAACGTAACGTCGGAAGGGGCCATTTAAGCCATTGGATCCAATCCCTGCTCAATGTTAAATCCCAATCACAGCATCCCACACAGATGGCTGTTTAGCATCAGTTGGACACGTGAAAGGGAGCCTCCCATGTCTCTGGTTCATTGTTTCCCTTGTCCAATCTGCTCTTATTGTCCAGTTGGGTTCTGCCTTCCTGTAATGTCCATCCATTATTCTCTGCCTGCACTCTGGAATGAGATACAACAGGTTTTGACCTCCAACGTGAAATCCTTTCTGGTATTTCAGGGATATACCCCCTCAACCATCTTTCCTCAAGGCTAAATATATCCAGCTCCCAGTCTCTCACCACAGGAGTTAGTTTCTAGTCTCCTGATCTTTCTGATTGACCTTCTCTGAGCCTGTTCCAATTTCTCTGACTCTTTAAAGTGTGGTTCCCAGAAACAGACAACCTATTCAAGGTGAGATTCCTCTATATTTATTATGTATGTGCCTTAAAGAATCAGCTCAGAAAAGACATGGATTCCATCCCTCCATAGGAAGGTACTAACAGCTTTAATGACAACCTGAAATATGAGCTTACTGATATCTTATTGTTATAGGATCTTCCAATATAATAGGCGTGGTCATCTGTAATTGGAATCCATTCCAGAACATTTGGAATTTTGAGAGCATGTGGTCATCGACAGGGTTTGCCTCTTTGCAAAATGGCTGACATGGTGAAGCACCCATTTACCAGAATCCAACCTTATTGACTTTAGCTGATCACAAAAAAAATCAAGCATGGTTAATACTTGGATGGCCAACTGGTAGGATACCTCAAGACAGCAGAAAAGGAGGTCATGGCAAACCACTTGGGTATTGTTCTTATGAAAACTACATGGAAGAGTTTGTGAAGTCAAGTTAAACTTAAATGAGACACCAAGTTTTTTTAAAATAGCAAAACTTCTTATCGTCCTCTGTAAGCTACCAGCATGAACATCCATGGGAGGTGGGGCGGTGGGGAAAATAGAGGTCAAATGACAATATATGTATGACAATATCATTCAACAAATGCTGTGACTTCCCTATTTGTGTTAGACATCAGGCTGCAAATATGTAATGACAACATTTGCATGATGACATCCTTGACCAGGCACATCATTTCTGCATCCTAGCGCTTTGCTGTGGATGCAGTTGGCTCCCAGAAAGCTTTCTCCCCACACCCACCCACCTACCGTGGTTGGGTTTCTTTTTCTGGCCACCATTCAAATAAAGTATGGGGCTGCAGCATTCTGTCTTTTATTTTTTCTTAAGAAAGCCTGAGGGACCTACATGGGGCCCAAAGGTGATCTTGAAAATAAAGACAATCCATTGCAATGTATCAATTTCCATTTTTTTTTTCATTTAAAAAATCTATTTAAAAATATCTGATGGCCAAACAGCTGAGTGTCTTCAGATTCTACAGATACTTTGGTAACTTCTGCTTGTATAATCACAGAGGACTATTGAGGCCACCAAATCCAATTTCTGCTTTGTGCATGAATCCAAAATATAGCATCCCTGACAGAAGCTTGTCCATCTTCTGCTTGGACAGTCCAGTGGTTGGTTTCTGTCACTGGTTTCACTGTCACTGCTGTTATGGATAGGAAGCTTTTTCTAACGTTGAGTCAGAATTTGCCTTCCCATAACTTTAATCCAAGATTTCCTGCCCTGAACTGTGGAATAAGAGAACAAGTCCTGACCTTCTTCTGTGTGACATCCTTTCAGGGATTTGAAGAATGATATTATATCCACTCTTAGTTGTCCCTGATCATTTTCATTGCCCTTCTTTGAAACTTGCAATTTCACTGAATCATTCTTAAAATGTGATGCCCAGAACTGGCTACAGGACTCAAGGTGGGGGCCACCACGTATTTTGTGTTTATGTTCTTGTTCAAAGAATCAAGAAAGACACTGGTCCCATGTTTTACACAGAAGTGCTTTAATACCACTTTGAAATATGCATGCATCTAGTTGATGAAATACCTATTAAAAGAAAATGAAAACTCTGTGCAGCAGATCACCATCATCTAAGCAATAAATTGATAATTAACTTCCCTGGTAGGAAAGATTTGAAGATGGTTGTCTAGATGTAGGCTAAAGGCTATACTTGGGCTAAGGGGAAATAATTCATTCCTTCTTTCCTTTCTTATTTTGAAAAGGAGCAAAGGATGATGTTGTTTTATGATTTATTTTGAGCTTATAAACCTGATCTCCAAAGAGGGTTCAAGCAATTACATTTTGAAACTATTTCTGCTCGCTTTGCTCATATTGTTGCAGTAAGAGCAAAGGTTTCCTTGTTGTTATTGTTAACCCTGATAAGGTAGGCCAGAAGGCAATGGTTAAATATTCTAAGCGACTGCAACCTTATCGAAGACAACTATGAGGAATGTTAGAAATTCAAGGTACCGTGAACACACGCAGACTGGAATTACATATATCGCACCATTGGGAGAATAATTTTAAAAGTGTGTTGCTTAATGACTTTTCTCAACCATAATTTATCTGGCAGGAGGAGAACTTCCTCAGTTAGCAGAAGGGTGCACGCACACATTTGGTTTTTGTGCACAGCAAAATAACCAGTCTTAAAATATGTGAAATTAATAAAGACTTTTAAAAGAAGATGATAGATGAGCAGAGAGTTAATTACTCCAAGAATTGCAGTGGGGAATTAGTGATTCTTACGCACAGGAGCTGGCTGAGTGACTTTGGGCCAGACACTCACTCTCGGCTCTAAATGGGAAGCTGAAAAACATCTATCTACCAGCCCACACTGGACCAGCATGATAGATTATGGATCACAATCTTCAGTGAAGAGATATCCATCCTACAGTGGATTAATTTGGCTTATTGTAATGGTTATTCTTGTTATTCAGACATATATGTATATAATGCACATCACATGCATGTATTTCTCAGGAAGAAAAAATCTCCAAGGTTAGTTTTAATTGAAGGTTGCAATCCTAGGTTGACAAGTTGGAGGCACAGGGTATCACACAGGATTTTATCTGTGTTTATATAGCTTTTCTGTCTACTCTTCCTGACTATGACCACTAATGAACCACCTGTTTCTCAGAAGGCAACACTCCCACGTTTACCTCCAGCCTCCTGGGGTCTTTTTTAGCTCCCATTTTCAGGGCAGGGGAGCACATCTCCCCACAGGGCACAAGGCTGCAGTCTCCAATTATTTTTACTGTGCTGGGAAACATCTGTTCCTAATTGGATTACAGTATTGCAACAATCTTTCTTTAGGGCCACTGTAAAGAGTCTTTGGAAATGGCAATTTGTCTGCAATGCAGCCATGAGACTGTTGGTGTCTCCTCGCAGGCAGGACCATATTACACTGCCCTGGTTCACACCAGAAGTGAATTAAATTCCAGGGAAGAAAACAGAACACCTCCTGTTGGGCTCTTTCAGAATGGGAAGTGTAAGCAGCTGAGGAGGCTTGAGCAGTATCACCTTCCTTTACCACCTTTGATAATAAAATTAAATTTCAAGAAGATCACCAGAAAAACCTCCTTGAAGCTGTCTAGAGTTTCAATTGGAAAAAAAAATACATGGTTTGATGCATTTTAACTGGTTGCTTCCAACTCCCCTGTGATAATACGTTTATGTAACAACAAGAAATTTTAGAAAATGGATTTATTATTGAAGAAAACATCCAGGCATACATAATCTGGCATTGCAAAGGATGAGTAATGGAAAAAAAAAAACAAGAAAAGACACTTGCTTGTCCTTCTCATCTGCCCAAGTTCCAGGCCCCTGCAAACTTTTGCACAAATAGAAACCCACTTTGTAAGGAAGCAGCTACTTAACTTCTCATCAAGAAAGCCTTCTGCATAATTTAAAGCAAATCACGGAATGGACATGATCCCCTCTCCTCAAGAATTCCTGCTACAGTTGCCATTTTTGTTTTTAAAACCCAGAATTATTTATGTGTTGATAGCACATAAACGATGACACAAGATGGCTAATTGGGAAGTGGTCAGGCATGGAGGAGAAATGAAGGAGACAGGAACTGAACAGTCAGAACTAGAACTTACCTCCTACCTGTCCATGGACTCTACCTGGTTTCAAAGGAAATAGGAAAGGTTTTCTAATGACCTGAACATGAGACCCCAGAATGAGTTTATTCGCTCACAGAATGAGCAAGTGGCATACACTCTGAACGTTTTTCAGAGCATACTTTTTATCATATAAAAAAGTCCCATGGCAAATTAATTTAGAAAACTCCTGGCTAAGGACAGGCCAAAAGCTATCATCATTTACTGCATATTTTTCCAAGAGAAATAAATCTAGGTTCCAGGGCATCCAGGAAATCCTCAGGCAGGCAGGCTGTTTTTGTCATCATCTGGAATAGAAAGGGACCACACAGATTCATTTTTCTCCAATATTCCTTCCTCTGCATAAACACGAGGCACATAAGAAACTAGGTTGTCCTCCAGGTTGGTCATGTCATCACATTTCTGCAAAGGAAGAAAGAAAACAGCCAGACTCTTGAACCTGATCACCTGTGCACCATAGCGCACTGGGATATAGTTTTAGCTCTCAAAAGCTTCATGGTGGCAAGGATGCAACTGTCCACTTTGGGGTGAAAAAAAATTGCCTTGATGCCACAGCTGGCTTTGGCAGAGATGGCTCTAATTTCTTCCCACTGAGATACAGGAGCTTGAACAATTACACCAAAGTTTTTATTCTTTCCAATTCACCACTGATATTTGTGGCAACTAGGTTTTCCTGAGAAAACCATGATTATGGTCTTAGAAAGATTGCTAGTAAGCCCTTCCTCCTTAGAGAATTCAGCGAAGACTTCTCCTGAGGCCTACCTGCTTAGCAAAAGACCAACCCTAACCCTACCTGCTTAGCAAAAGAATGGTTGCATCATCACCATACAGCAGTACTGCCCAATGCCCATTACTAAGTTCAGGATGGTGGAATTCCTTTCTGGCAGGTACCACTGAATTCACACAGCTATGAAACAACTAGAACACATCTCTGCTTCACTCCTGGACCCCTTGAAAAGTCTGCATTAAGGTGGCCAGTTCTATCACATCTAATGTGGGTGACTGTATTTTCATCCAGCATCCTGATTAGGATGGATAGCCACCAATCAGTAGATGTGAGGGACAGCTTCCACCAGAGTCCATCCTTTGGAATAGACATAAGTCAGTGAGAAAACATATTTTATTTATTTATTTATCAAATTTGTCACTGCCCATCTGGTTAAAAAACAACTCTGGGCATATAAGGGGCAATGCTGCCTACATGTATATTTATCTATTAAATTTATAAGACGGCACACTGATCCATTGAAGATCTGCTCTCCCTAAATCTTGCTTGCTCCTCAACTAGGAGTTTCTCCTGCTCCAGTCAATCCAATAATGTATAACACAAGAAGCAGGGGTATCATTTACAAGACACGTTTAATGGATGAAGGGCTTGTGCTGTTCCCATTCTTAATGTTGGAACAGTTATCAGTTATTGATTGGATCCAGCCACCTAACATTTGGAGTATATTGTTGAGTTGGGGAAAAAGAGAGGCCAAGACTGGGGCCCAAAAATCAGCATTTCCCTTCAGTAACTCTGGAGGTATGAGGTCACCACCGGGGGGGGTCCCACTTTTCAGCTGGCTCACTGCTTTAAGAGTGGGGCCAGGGAGGGTGCTGTGTGGCATCTCATATGGAGAACAGAGGATGGAAATGGGGGGGCTATATGGTGCTCTATAGAAGTCTTCCCATCTTGTAGCTGGAATCCTAACCTCCAAGCACTGAATCTTCTCATGTGACAGGCAAGCACTTCACTTCCAAATAGGCATGTATTTTTATCTTTCACAGACTGAAAGAAATCACTCCCAGTTTGTTTGAGCAGGGAGACCACTAAGAAATCTCAGATCTCTAGGCTGAGGCCATGCTCAAAACATATCCTACATTATGTAATTCAAAGTATTTGGAAAAAGGAAGCCTTGGTTTGCCTCCAGTTGCTTACTTGTTTCAAGGCAACAGCTGCTATTTCCAAAATTTTCTCCTGTGGTTTTTTCCTGCGTGTTTTATCGTTCTGATGATTCCAGATTTCCAGCTACAGAAAGGAGGAAAAAAGCAAGCTTCACAGTCACTCCCACAGTCACTCCCAAATCCATCCAGAAGGTCTTACCACTTCGCCTTCAAACATATATTTGGCTAGCCACCTATTCTAAACTGATGCATCCAAAGCTATTAGAAACAGTAGGAGATGTATTTAATTATATAATACGGAGGTGGACAATTTCTTGGTCCCCCTCCTGAGACCCCCAGAATCTGCTCCAACTTGGCAGCCAAGTTTCAGTTTCCCTGATTGTATGAGGCAGAAAACACTTAGCATAGGCTTAGTGCCATTTTAAAACAAAAAAATCCACTCCCCCAATGCAGAAAAGGGCAATGCCAGCCCTGGTTCCCATCCATAATGCAGTCCCACCTACTTTGCGGCTCTCAAGGACTCAAAAAATCATTATTTGCCTACCCATCTACCAATAAGTTTCCAATCCCAATTCAAATGGTTTATCTAACCTGATTCCAAGTATTGATAGTGTTAAAGGGTGAAGTTACACTTCCAGTAGGATGTTGGTGATTTTCTGTAAGCTTCATTGGCATCGCCCCCGAGACATTCTTTAGGGGGAAAAAGGGAATACAGAACTTATAACGAATCAAATTACAGCACACTTTTTAATGTTTGGATATTGTAGGATCTAGAATCATTGGAAGGATTCCCAATAAAATCTGTATCTTCCTGAAGTCCACCTCTCCAAGGCCAGTCCTTTCTGACAGCAGAATACCTATGACATTTGTCTTCTTCTCACCCTCAATCATGATGGGTCAGAGCAAAGGCCAGGGGTATCTGCAGATGATACCTCTTTTCATCAAAATGTTGAAAACAGTGTCACACCGCAACACCAGAAGCTCCACCACTTTGGGGCATAGATATGATGTCACAACAGACATACCAAAGGGGTGTGTCTTGCATCATGATGACACGATCCTACTTTTGTCCTGCTGCCCCTCTCTGACTATTCCTATAGTTGCTGCTGCTAAAGGCCAAAGAAATTGATAGGTACTTTGAACATTCTACAAACATTTCCTACCTCTAATAGAAGAGAATATATGTAGCTCAGGGTTGCATTGTGGAGTTCTTGGGGTTCTCTGGGCTTGGTTGTTTTCTTGCAGATGTTTCATTACCCCTAGCCAGATAACAAAACATCTGCAAGAAAACGACCAAGCTCAGGAAATCCCAAGGACTCCACAATGTCCTACCTCTCCTTGCTAACTGAAAAAGGAAAATATTTAGAAAGAATTCTGATGGATAAACCATCCTTAGATACAACTACAAAATTAAAGGAATTACTGTATATGAAATAATCCCAATTCTGGTAATGACAAGTGAATTAAAGTTTCTGGGCTCACATTCCTGTACTATGTCTGTCAAAGAGATTAGAACCCACCCATGTCTGGAGCCATAAACCATTTTAATTGGTAACTTTTAATTTTAATGTAGTAATGTTCAAAGGTTGTGGAACAGTCCAAGACATGGTAAAGAAGAAACAGATGTAAAGACATCCTGAGTCATTAAATGCTCACAATCAGCTTAGTCAATTTTACTACTCTAAAGCACATCAATCCATTTTTTAAGGTCAAGATTAGGGGTGCCTCAGACAAGGGTGGGAGGGGACACTGTGTTTGGAGGGGTATCATAAAACAAGTCATGTTTTAGGAATGACTATCGTAAGAAGAACAAGTGCCAGAAATTATTCAAATCAAATATAGCTATGATTCAACTCTTCTCTCCTTATAGATAATACTGCACTGAGGAGCATAAATATGAAACTATGCCACTCGTTTCATTCTGGCTCCTGCAGATCATCCCTTATTGGATAATCTCTATAAGCACTGGATCAGTGGTATGAAGGGTGACACTTTATTCTAGTTACCTCAAGAACTTGTGGTTTTTCTTTCAAAATGTTTGCATACACTGAGGATGGTGCTGCATGGTTTCCCAGGTCTGGTGTATCCTAAAAGTGACAATAAGGCAGCTGGATAAAGGAAAAGAAAGTCTCTTTGGATAGTTGCAATTGGCAAAACATTACAATTTGGAAGATTGTACTAATACTTTCTTAGGGGTAACTTCCAATGAACTCAATGAAACTTCCTTCTGGGTAGCATGCACAGGCTTATACTACAAATCTAGGACCTGTTCCTGAAATGTCAGGGGGAGTGGCCAGTGATATTATTTCTCACCTGAGACAAAACATGTTGACTTTCTTCATTGTAGTTAATCAGGGATTGGTTGCCTGCTTCATATGGAATGAAGGCAGGGCCTTTCTCCACTTTTGAGATGCAGGAACATAGCAGGACAGCCAGGCCCACTGCATAAAAGGAAGGGGGAAACAAGCAATGTCACAAATGTGATCTTCTCCAGCATCTTTTCTTATTAGCCGCTAACCTTTTAGTTGAATCTCTGCCCAGCACAACTGTTTCAGCTGAAGGTTTTTCTTGGGCCATCACCTTTCTTTGTTCTCCTGCCTTTTCCTCCATCTTCTTTTCTTACCATAAAACTTACATTATGGGAATGGAGGGGGGGAAGGGAGAATAGCTGCTTAAAGTCTTTTGATTGCTAGTTCCAGGAATCCTTGGAACCAGAGAAGAATGGTGGCCAAATTATTTCATAAGGAGATGGGACAGCATGCTTTTTAAATCAGGATGAGGGTGTTTGACAATGGTTGCATCTAAGAAAAAGAGGGTAGTTGCTTCCACATGGCACTGAGTAAGGACACAGCCCACTCATAATATATGCTTGATCTAAGATTTACTATCAACCAAAATAAATGATTCTCAGACGCTTCTGAGATTCCAGTCCAAGGATGAAAAGCAACAATCTGGCTTACTGAAAGGTAAAATTGCCAACAAAGAAGAGGGTTGAAGAGTCATTTAACTGTATTCTTGATATATTTTGACTAAAATTATACAACATGCTTTCCTATAATATGGTTTATTTGTTTTTGGCTTAACATGTTGGGTGAACCCAGACATTACACTTTGAAACCATAGGTTAAGGGCCAGCATAAGGGTTGGACCCAGCCACATATGGCTTATTCAGTAAACCAGTTAAACAAATTGTGGTTTAGTGTATGTATCCAGTCACACCCAGACACACAGTTCAGTGAAGGCGAAACTCTTCAGTGAGCAAAATATAACAGGCATAGCCTGGGAACAAATATTGGAACTGCAGTGATTGTATTGACCATGACATAATAGCATTTCCCAGTGAACTGATGGTCTCACTGCAGTTGTGAGAATCAAGTAGAAAATATGTATCAAATCAGCTCTCTCTTCACAATTACAGAATTTATACCCATAACAGGAAGAAGAATCTTTCGCAAAGTTCTCTATGCACAACTCTTAGGAAACACAGGTTAAGGAGAATAATAAAGAAAGGTTCCACCAATCTTGCCCAGTTGTACAGAAAATGACATCTGGATCTTGGTTCCTTTAGGATCAGTAGGCCAACCTCTGGACCTTCAGCATTTGCTCACAATGGCTTTCTTCACACTCTCATCCCTATATTACATGACAGTCCATATATAGGCCTGGGTTAAGCTGTAAGTAGGCTGGTTTGTTTTAGCTTTGCATGAAGTATCAATCCACCCAGTGTTCATCTATTATACTAGAATTATGTGGAATTTAGTCAAGGTCATTATTGTTTGCTCAAAAGCCCAGGTTTTAAAAATCCTGGTTTACCATTATGTGAACTCAGCCAAGATTTATTTAACATTTCATACCATCCCTGTATAGCTCTGCAACCCTAAGGCAGCCTACAAAGTGTTTTTAAGAACAATATAGGATGCAAATGTTGGTATACAACACTAGAGTGTGAAAATAAATTATAATCAAATAAATGATGGGGTCTATTTTACACATCATAACTGACTGCAATTCCTCTGAAATCCAACTTACTGAGATTAAATGTGATGGTGGATGATGTCTGATCATTCCCAGCTAGCACCTTCTAACAGTGGGGATGGCTAAACAAAATAGGAAATATTCAACTGTGGCTTGTCTAGGCTTCATCCAAACCATTATTCCTGGCTTATTGCTCTCCCACAAGTCAGAATAACAAGTCAAGACTATTCTTGGTTTTAAGATCCAGAGTTTTAAGAAAGCAGGATGCCAGAGATCCCACTTGGAGTTCACTGTTAAACAAAATACAGATGGAAGCTTCCAGGGTTGTTTAGCTTAAGATTAATAAATCTGGGCTGCAAAAATCAATGTGACTATTAGATAGCCACAAAGACATGCAGAAGACTCTCTTTGCTTCCATCTTTTGTAGACCAAATATAGGAGCCCTAGTTTAACTATTCTAGGTTTTGGAGGACTCAAAAGGGGGTGATTGGCATGATACATCAATGTATTGATTCAATTCCAATAATCCAGAATTCAGAAAAATAGGCATTTATTTTGCACTTGAACCAGCCAAAGGTTTAGCTGCATCATAAATAGATTCCCAAACGTTCACTTTTAGATTAGACACACTTACTTCAGAGGGTTATTCCACAACCAAGACATCATAACTAAAAAGTCTGCTAAGATGAACATGGGAGAACGTGGAGCAGGCTCCCCAGTGTTGATCTGATTGGAATGGGTTGCCACCCAGAAGAGACAGCATCATTTAGGGCAGTGTTGTCCAAACCTGGCCACTTTAAGATGAGTGGACTTCAAGTCCCAGAATTCCCCAGCCAGCCATGCTGG